GTGACCCTCCTGGGGTGACAATCATGAGCACCACTACCATCTCGGACCTACTGAGCAGGCATGAGGACCAAAGCCTTAACTGAGCAAGCATCCATGATGCAAGCAGGAAGAACAGAATGGGTCACCTCCAGTGATGCTGGCCTGCACCCCTTAACTCCTTTCTCTATAAAAGACCCTGTACAGCTCCTCCCGGGGGTCTAGCTTTACTGTCGCTACCCCTCTTATGCATAAATCTATCTCCTCTTTTAATAAAGCATTGCTTGTTTTTCTGCTGAGTGCATTTTTCATTTCTATGACCCAAGAGCCTAATTTGGTATAAGCCAGGAGGTAAGGGGACTCTGGGTGTCGGGGATGGCCCTGGGAGTTTTTCCACGTGGCACATGTACTGCTCTAATATCTGCACGAAAATCGGAAAGCCTCAGGCACCAGAGAAGACCCTAGCTGCAAGAGGCAAGTGGCTGCTGGGACTATTTTGCTCTGCTGGTAAGTCTCTCCTGGAGCCCCTGGCCTAAATTCTGACAAGACAATGTTTTATTCTCTTTTAATCTCCCTTTTTCTTTCCCTTTTATTCCTCTTTAAACTGACTGCCGAACAGCTACAGCTTAAACTTCTCTCAACCTGTGAAAAGCATGTTCCACCTGGCCGGCAGCGGCTTGTCTTGGTGGGTAACTAGCAGAGGTGCAAAGGCCAGTCCTGCACCATGAAGATCTTGCTTGAGCAGGTTCCCCCTGACAGGGGATTCATGAGAGTGGTGGGGATTCATTCCCTTGCTGTGCAGTGACTGGAACTCCAGAAGCCACTAAAATTTTCTTTACTTTTCTCTGATTTTCTGAACCCTCTTCTGCTGTTTTGTCAGATTGCATCTACTACTATATAGGTGCACCCTGGGGGGCTTTCGGCTATGCTTTGTTTCTCTGATTTAAATCTAGTTGGTACTTTTCTTTGTGCCAACAACAGTGGAGCGAACCATTTTCATCAATTACTGTGTCAGCGGAATGAGTAAGTGGTTGGCCCCACTGATTAGGACTAGGATAAAGTGGACCCTACTGTTCCACTTTTTACTTTGTTTGCTTGGTTACACATTTAGTTGAGTACCGGTTATCTGAATAAGCCTTCCCATCCTTGCACCAACTTTTGGACTTTTGAGTCATTTGTTTAATGTGAGAGGGCAAGCCAAGCCTGGTCTGCTGGTAACATAAGTATTGAAGTTGTTTTTTTTAAAAAAGATTATTTAACAGGTTTATTAAGGTACAATTTAGATATCAAAAAACTCGTTTTTTGGACATGTAAAATTCAATGATTTTAGTAGATTTATAGATTTGTGCAACTATCACCACAATCCAGTGTTAGAACATTTTTATCACCCCCAAAAGTTGCCTGTTTTCAGTTAATTTCCACCCCCACCCCAAGCCCTAGGCACCCACTGATCTGCTTTCTGTGTCTATATATTTGCTTTTTCCAGATATTCCATGTAAATAGAAACATATGACGTATAGTCTTTTGTGTCTGGTTTCTTTGGCTTGGTATCATGTTTTTTTTTTTTTTTTTAAAGATGACCGGTAAGGGGATCTCAACCCTTGGCTTGGTGTTGTCAGCACCATGCTCAGCCAGTGAGCAAACCGGCCATCCCTATATGGGATCCGAACCCGTGGCCTTGGTGTTATCAGCACCGCACTCTACCGAGTGAGCCACGGGCCGGCCTTGGTATCATGTTTTTGAAGTTCATCTGTTTTATAGCATGTATCATCATTTTGTTCCTCTTTATTGTTAAGTAGCATTCCGTTGTATGGATGTAGCACCGTTTGTCTATTCATTCACTAGTTGATGGATATTGGGATTATCATCAGTTATAGCTATTATGACTAATGCTGCTAAATGCACACATGTCTTTGTGATGACATATGCTTTTATTCCTCTTGAATAGATTTCAAGGAGTGGAATTGCTGGGTTATATAACAAATGTATGTTTAACTTTCTAAGAAATTGCTAAACTGTTTTCTAAAGTAGTTGCAACACTATATCCACCCAGCAGAAATGCATCAGGGTGTAGAAAGGCCTTTTATTCTCAAACATAATTATAATAATGATGCTGGTAGTAACAGAAATATTCACATGTGTTTTACTAATTTTTATACTTTCTTTTTATTGTTTCAGTTTTTACTCATCAGTAATCCATTTTGCTGAAAGGACTGAGTTTGGAATAATACATCTTGTCAACAACTTGAAACTCTCCATTTATCCTATACTAAATTTCAGCTGTTTGGGGTTCTAATTCTGGACTCTGTTCCACTGGTGTATTTAATCAACAATGAATCAGCACCAAAATGTGTGTATTATAATAGATATATCAACTATGTTACATAACTATGTTTGTGTATAATATGTTTTAGCATCTTATAGAGCTAGTTATTCCTTATTATGTTTCTTTTCTTCAACAATTTCCCTGGAAAACATATTTTTCTTCATAAAATTATAAATCAGCACAGTAAGTTCTAAAAACAATCCTCTGGCTTATTTTGTTTTATTGTAATTGGGTTAATGGCTCATGTAATGGTGTAATGGTGTTTAATACTCAATATGTTAATAAAAAAACCAAAAAAACAAAAAACCCACTCAGAACCTTGAATTGATAATGCCCATCAAGAATCTATAGGCTTTCATGAGGAAATTAATTAAAAATACTAGCAATCTAATAGTACCAGAAACTATCATTTCTCTACCCTAAAATCACTTTCTCCTACCCCATCCACCATTTCTTTCTTTCTGAAAAGATTAATTTGCTCATTTTCTTCCCATGTGCATCAGGCCTACTCCACAAAGTTTGAATCGTGGTTTGTCTGAGCCCGCCACTGGAATCCCATGGTTCTCCCCATGTGTGGGGAAGTGGGTCTGTCAGAAACACTTTGGGAAAAGTTTAGTAGCTCCGTATAAAGGCACACAAAAAGAAAGTTTTCTTTTCCTGTCTTTGGAAACTGTTATGAGAGAATATGAAACCTGAAACCTCTGCAGGTGTCCTGCTACCATCTCAGGAAAGCTGACATGCTGTGTATGACAGAGGGAGGAGCTATAAAGCTCCAGGATCATTGGTGATGCTGCTGGCCTGCTAAATTCACCAATCCTGGAGATGCCTTACCTCGGGTCTATCATTTATGTGAGATAACAAGTTAAAAAAAAATAAGGCAAATTAGATTCAATTAGATTGAATTTTTAGCAGCAAGCATCAGAAAGCATCTTCACTGAAATATTCATGCCATATATTTAAATTCTACCTTATAATTTCATACCATGGGTCTCAAATAACATGAGACAAATCACTTCTCCATCTCAACCCTGGAATCAAATAGATCTTATCCCAACTCTATGTATATGGTAGACATTATTATCAGCTTATTAAATTCCTATAAGATAACCTGCTTTGCATAAATCATACATAATTTAAAATATGCATAAAATAAACTTTGAATTCACTTGAAAGTTAGTTATCTGAAAGTGGAGAAATTGCATTCAAATGTTTGTTACTTTGAAATAAAGTTCCGAGTCAATTATCTACTCTAGATTTGACATACATTTGGTATCGAATCTTCAAATGGAACACAGTAGTAGAATCATCCAACTTCTTAACCAATTTAGTCACCTTTCTCTGAATCCTGTCCAGGTCCTTTATAATAGTATACTATTTAAGTCTACAAAATTTATAACTATATACTGATTTACAGTTACAGTTATACATGATTTAGGCAAGGGTCAAAAAAGTTTTTACTTTCTAACTTGTTTCCTGTCACATAATTTTCATCAAGTTTGTCTCAAATATTATAGTCTGTTTTCAGTTTCAATCCACTGCCTTTCTAAACTTTTAATTTTTTTATTTCATAAAATATTTGAATGTTTCACAAGTTAAAACTGTTACATAAGACATATTCAGAAAAGTACAGCTTTAAGCTCTGTTCCCTACAACCTATTCCTTCATTTTCCATATAAACAATTATTTCTTTAAAAATCCTATTGTTTTAAAATGTAGCTAGAAAGATAGATAAAATAGAATAGGTATTTTAAGTGAAATGTTGCATACTACACAAACTTTCCTGTACCTTATTCCAAACATAGTTTGGAGATTATTCCACAGCAGGTTACCGAGTGATTTCTGGATTTCCAAGAAATCTGAGGTCAAATGGGAAAAGAAAGGCTTTATACAGGGCCATAGCTACACAGATGACTAACTTGAGCAAAGCCATGTTTTTTCCTGCAGTAAAGTCTATGGGTCGTCTCAGTTACCAACAGGTTCCTTACCTTTCTGATTCCTGAAGTAGATGAATAGCCCCACCCCAAGGAACAGTAGGCCCAGCACAAAGCCCCCAATTCCACTCAGCATCCTGCTCTGTGCAGATTCAGACTGTGCCCCTGGGAGAAGAAGCCAAGTTTAGTGATTTTTACCCCAAGTCTAACTTCTCTATTTGAGACCCTGAGATTCAGTGATTTGCGAATGGGGGAAGAAACCTGAACTAGAAGAGCTAGAATAATTGGCCATTTCTGGAAAAGAGATGTGAAAACATCACACTGAGTATCTACAAGGTTCACGCACTGAACTCAATTAAATATCACGGCCCTGAAATGACATCTGATGTATGACGAGTCTGGAACTCAGTGAGGTTAAGTATAGCTTGTCTAGGATGACAGAGCTAATAAAAGGCAGAGCTGAGACTGAGCTCCCTCACGTCAGGAAGGCCCCTCATTGCTCCTCTTCTCAGATCACAATGAACAGCTCAGAGCAGCAGCATCAGAAATGCAAGCCCAGCCCCAGAGACAGGGTCTGAAACCCAGAGCCAACTGGGTGACCGTGACCTATAGTATCATGGGAAGGTTCACAGCCTCTTTTCTGCCTGCCAAACGTAATTGCTTTTTCAGGGTGTATAAGTATTTGTAGAAATTGTTCATAGGGCTACTCCCAGTCACCTGTGCTTAAGGAGAAGAAACAATACAGCAAACAAAAATATGGTGAGGGGAGAGGAGAAACTGACACTAGGAATAAGCAAAACCCCCTTCCTGCTGGGTGAGAAATTTATGAGGTCACAAAGCTTCTCACTCCATTCCACCGTGATAGGGCTCATCCGGCTCGTGTGCGTCACTTGGCAGGTGTAAACCTCTCCACTCTGAGGAACCGTTTCAAGCATCACCAGGGTCTGGAAGGTCCAGTCTCCATTCTGAATCAGGCCTGTGGAGACCACCCCAGTTTCCTCTTTCTGGCCATTCCGGAACCACCTGACTTCAATGTTGCCTGGATAGAAACCATCCACAGAGCAGACCAGGAGGTTGTGATGCTGCAATGGCTGGGTCTTCATAGGATACACAGTCACTGTAGGCTCAACTAGGAGAGAAAAAATGGTGAGAATAGTGAGGAAGGCAGAGTAAGTATCCTTGGCTGGCTGCCTTTCTTTCTTTCTTTCTTTCTCCAAACCTAGCCTCAAGTCTCAGGCCTGCCTCCCTCCAAGCTGGCCATGTAGCCTAATAATGTCATGAGCCTTGAATTTAATCCTTACAGCAGGGGCCCATTAGATTTGAGAATGTTGGAGAAAATTGCATGTTTTTTTTCATAGCTCAAAATAGTTATTCATTGTTTAACTGAAGTGTTTGCAAACCTTTGCAAGGCATATAGGGTATTAATTAAAAGTGTGATTTCTGGAGCCAGGATGCCTGTGTTCAAGTCCAGCCTGTGCCTCTTACTGGCTGATCCTGAGAGAGAATTTTAAATTTCCATCTACTTCAGCTTTCTCACTTACAAAGGCAGATAATGATATTAACTTATCTATTACAGTTACGTGCTAAAATATGTAAAGCAATGACTAGAACTTAGCCTTCAATATACGTTAGCTTTTTATTCTTGTTCACTCTGAAAGAAAATGTGATTCAAAGATATATGAAGAGATCTTAGGAATGTCATCTTGATGCACTCACAGCATAGAACGCCACCGAAATGGCTCTACCCTGAGAAGCAGGAACAGATAGAGATGATTCTCTAATGCTGTGAGCTGAGTCTGAAGAGAAGCATAAGTCCTGAAGGACAGGGATAGCAGCAATGGATGACTGTTCGTGTCAAAAGTTCTTCTATTTTCACTTGGGTGACCAATCCCTCTCTTTTGCAAAACGAGAATATCTATAAATAGCTTTGTTATTTTACAATTGTCCCTCTTTCTAAACTGAGATTTGAGGGTAAGACTGGGTCTGGGACTCATCAATATGTGTGTTTAATGCCTGGGACAATCCCTGATCCCAGCAGACCTTCAATAAATACAATTATTTTAAAAGAAAGAAGGAGAAACGTGGGGAAAACATTTTTACAATACCACTAAATGATAGAGTTAAGACTGATGGTAAATCATTACAAACAATTTTGTGATATATTGAAGAAAAGTACTTAAATTCTTAGCATGGAAAATAATAAAGAAAATTAAAATGTAAACCATAAACTGGAGAAAGTGCTGAACTGAATATCAGCAAAGTGTTAATATTCTTACTGCGTAAAGAAACAGTAAAACCACTGAGAAAAACACTAGGACTCAAGAGATAATAGAGGATAGATATTTCCTAGAGCAGTCACTGTAATTGGCCAACAGATATGTGAAA